AATATTTATTTTTTTAATTATATTTTTTGAAGAAATTTTTCGAATTCATTTAAGACTTTTTTTAATTAATTTTGTTTTGCATGGTATTTCTAATAAGTTCAACTTCGCAAGATATCTTTTTTTATTCTATTTTATTCAATCAATTTTATTTATATATCTGTTTTTACTATCATTTGATTAAATTAAAAATTAATAAAATTATTAAATAAAATCAGGTAAATAAATTATGCTATGAATAAAATATTTTATTTTATATATAATCAGATATGCATTTAGTTATCATTAGTTATTATTTTTATTTATTTATTAACATAGATAATTTTTAATCTATTTAATTTAATATATATATATATATAAGTTTTTTATTTACCGTTTGTATTTTTATGTAAACAAATATTAAAAAACCTGTAATTTTAGTTTACCCTTTGTATTTTTATGTTAACAAATATTAAAAAACCTGTAATTTTAGTTTTTTTTTTGTTAAAAAAATATTTAGCCCACGTAGCATCGGAGATGAGATGGTTGCTATGAGCTAAATTCTGAAAATAACTAGACTTGATAAGAAAGAATCTGGGTCCACCGATGCATGATGAATCTAACATCAATCATGTTCGGCCTTACCGTACACGTGTTTGGACAGATGCAAGTGCTACGTTTGTGTTGATCCTGGACCTAACATCCATTGTATACGTGAAGTCGGAGTATTTAATCTCGGCCTGATGACTGACTTGACCCAAGACTAAGACCTGCATGATAGGTTTTGACTGAGCTACTAGAGTAGTTTCAGGTCGATTTTAATTTTTTTTAAATTAATAAAAAGTAGTTTATGATAAAAATTAAATATCTAAACTCAAGTTTTTATTTCATTTATTTATTTATTTGATCTAATTCTAATTTTGGATCAAACAGATAAATCCATAAAAACAAACTTGGTTTTAAAACTACACGTGAACTAAGTTCGTAAGCGACAAGCTAGTCCAGTCAATTATGTGGTTTGACGTTTTTAAATTGCTTATCGTAGCGCCTAATGGACTGGCCGAAGGCGACAGTGGCCATGACTTTTGTTCGCTGGGGGATCAGATGGTCCGTGTCGATAACACATGAGGTCTTGGTTGTGTCTCACATTACCTCTTCAAGAGGGAATTGGTCAAGTTCTTGGCATGTTCAAATCATGTGCATGTTTTCTTCCTTCTTTTCTCCAAAATCTTTGCGACAAATCTCCATGTTATTTATCACCACTACTGTTTGTGACATCATTGTTGAGAGTGGTGACCTCGAACTAGAATTTAAAAGAATTCACAATTGCTCACAATATGTCTTTTCTACGTGTAAATATCAAACATAAATAAAAAACACAAACACAAAAATAACAATACATGAATATAGACGTTGGACCGACCGACTTTGAGCTTCCAAAGACATAAGTGAAAAAATAAAAATAAAAGGTTATATTATGCAACAAAACCATAAAAGCTATATTATACTGAGCAACGAGCAATGCAAAAAGGGTGGAGATTGGAATAGAAAATGATCAAATACAAGGGCTAAGAGATTCTACTTCAAAATATCAACACGGCATTCCTTTAAAAGAAAACTACGCAGCTGGCAACCCTAACGTGGCCGCCGAGCTCTCGAAGCTGGTGTCGGCATTTTTTTATGTCTGGAGGTTGTTTAATCCCGCTTTTAACTGGAGTTTCAAAAAACTTTGATTAAATTATGTTTTATTA